AAATCCACAATTTTTATTGCAAAATAGAGCGTTAAATTGCATACGTTTTTCTAGAAAATATTATTTTAGAAATGTTTCTAGTTTTCACACAAAATGCGAAAATTCAGAACTAATGCGAGTCCTCAAAACCGCTCTTGTTCGTTGGCTAGTAGTTAGAAAACCGGGTGAGCTACAAAGTTCTAGTTTTGATGCGAGATAGAGCGTTAAATTGCGTACTTCCTTATGCCAAACATCATATTAGGAGCATTTGCAGTTTTTACGCACAATTAAAAAAAATCAAGATTATTACGAGTCTTTCAGAACCGCTGTTATTCTTTGGTTCGTATTTACACAACTCGTTAAATCTGAAATCCACAATTTTTATTGCAAAATAGAGCGTTAAATTGCATACGTTTTTCTAGAAAATATTATTTTAGAAATGTTTCTAGTTTTCACACAAAATGCGAAAATTCAGAACTAATGCGAGTCCTCAAAACCGCTCTTGTTCGTTGGCTAGTAGTTAGAAAACCGGGTGAGCTACAAAGTTCTAGTTTCGTTGCGAGATAGAGCGTTAAATTGCGTACTTCCTTATGCCAAACATCATATTAGGAGCATTTGCAGTTTTTACGCAAAATTAAAAAAAATCAAGATTATTACGAGTCTTTCAGAACCGCTGTTATTCTTTGGTTCGTATTTACACAACTCGTTAAATCTCAAATCCACAATTTTTATTGCAAAATAGAGCGTTAAATTGCATACGTTTTTCTATTATTCATTATTTTAGAAATGTTTCTAGTTTTCACACAAAATGCGAAAATTCAGAACTAATGCGAGTCCTCAAAACCGCTCTTGTTCGTTGGCTATTAGTTAGAAAACAGGGTGAGCTACAAAGTTCTAGTTTTGATGCCAGATAGAGCGTTAAATTGCGTACTTCCTTATGCCAAACATCATATTAGAAGTATTTGCAGTTTTTACGCAAAATAAAAAAAAATCAAGATTATTACGAGTCCTTCAGAACCGCTGTTATTCTTTGGTTCGTATTTACAGAACTCGTTGAATCACAAATCCCTAATTTTTATTCCAAAATAGAGCGTTAAATTGCATAAGTTTTTCTATAAAACATTATTTTAGAAGTGTTTCTAGTTTTCACACAAAATGCAAAAACTTAAAACTAATGCGAGTCTTCAAAACCGCTCTTGTTCGTTGGCTCGTAGTTAAAAAACCGGGTGAGCTACAAAGTTCTAGTTTTCATTGAGTGTTAGAGCGTTAAATTGCGTAGTTTTTTTTATATTAAACATCATTTTAGAAATGTGTCGAGTCGCGCAAAATGCGAAAATTTAAGATTAATGCACTCGCATGCAACAAAAGTTGTTCTGAATACTCATTCAAAAGAACTTATATTCGTTGGCTCGTATTTAGAGCTTCAGCTACAGAGCTCTAGTTTTCATTGCAAGATAGAGCGTTAAATTGTGTATTTTTTTTATACCAAACATCATTTTAGAAAAGTTTCTAGTTTTCACAAAAAATGCGAAAATTCAGAACTAATGCGAGTTTTCAAAACCGCTCTTGTTCGTTGGCTAGTAGTTAGAAAATCGGGTGAGCTACAAAGTTCTAGTTTTGTTGCAAGATAGAGCGTTTAATTGCGTACTTCCTTATGTAAAACATCATATTAGGAGTATTTCCAGTTTTTACGCAAAATGAAAAAAAATCAAGATTATTACGAGTCTTTCAGATCCGCTGTTATTCTTTGGTTCGTATTTACAGAACTCGTTGAATCACAAATCCACAATTTTAATTGCGAAATAGAGCGTTAAATTGCGTACTTTTTTCTGGAAAACATTATTTTAGAAATGTTTCTAGTTTTTACACAAAATGCGAAAATTCGGAATTCATAAGAGTCTTCAGAACCGCTCTTGTTCGATGGCTTGTAGAGAATCCGGTGCTCAACAAAGCTCTTCATTGCGCTATAGAGCGTTAAATTGCTTACTTTTCTTTATACCAAAGATCATTTTAGAATTGCATCCAGTTTTCACACAAAATGCGAACATTTATAATAATGCAATTCTTCAGAACCGCTCTGGTTCGCTGGATCGTATTCAGAGAATCGGTTGAGCTACACAGCTTTAGTTTTCATAGCGAGACATCGTTTCATTCCGTAGTTTTTATACCAATTATTAAATCAACCCAAAACAACATAACTGAAGTATTGAAATGTATGTTAGTTTTACTGAAATTGCACCAATTTATTGCGAGAACAATGTTCAAGTCGATCACAGGCCCAGAAGATGAACTTATTTAAAGGCCAATAAATCGGGGCAAAGTAAAGAATACGATTTTTAAGGTAATTGAAGTTTAGACTTTTTCGGACTTTTAAGCGAAACGAACACACCTCTGAACATGAAAACTACTGGCGCTTGCCAAACGTCAGGAAGTAATTCTTTTCCACGACACCCTAAAAGGCCGAAAAACTATTGCTATTGGAGTCTTTCCGAAACCTCACCTGTTAAGTTTGTTGGCAACACAACCGCTTTTCCCATTTCGCCGGGCAGTTCTTGCGGAGGAGCCAGCACCGAGTCATCGTTTTCCCGTCTTTCGATGGAGTTTTCCTCCTTTTGGAACGGTATAAGTGGACCAGCCTCTCGATCGGCCACGTCCTCCTTATTCGCGTTGTGCCGCACTACCGAATCGCGAAAATCACCGATCTGAAATTAACGAAAAACCTCATTAAAGAACGTCAATCTGTGCTTAATTTAACGGGGAACATTTTAACAGATGAAACTGATAGCCATCAAAGACTTTCACTTGCTATCCAAACACTGACATTGTAAAACGTTGATTCAAGTTGTTTCAAAAGGAAATCAACTTAACTACAGCCTGAAGAATGTTGTATGCCTAAAATTCTTTTTTACCTGATTTTGATGTAGAGATTCGGCTAAGGGACCTCGATCGGCGGGTCCCGAATCCCGCATCATTAGCATGGCCACCGTAAACCATGCTGTACACACTATAACCACTAACTTGAGCACCAGAGATCTGAAACAAGAATAAAACTTGCTATTCGCTCAGTTTGTCAGCTAGAAACTAGAATCTGTATCAAATAAGCGACAACAATCTCAAGTAGATAAGTTCTATATTGTTGAGGCGGATTCATTTTTTACAAACTTTCTTTTGGGTATTTCGCATCAAAAATTTTTGTCTTTAAAAAAGACAGAATTTCCTCGCGTCTTTTATTACAGATTGATAAATAGTGCTCCTATTTCGCAATAAGAACGAATTATTTATCAAAAAGTA